GGACAAAAGGTGAAGCAAAAAAGCTCTGGTTTAGGAGAGTATATTCCTTTAACCAGAGTAATATCTCACCCTCATGCTACATCTTTAGCAAACGCTGTTCAGCACAGTTGCAACCATTGTTAAATGAAGACCACAGACATTTTACTTCAATTACTAGAGAATGTAAACATATTAGGTGACATAGTCTATTTCTGATCTAAACAATAGTGCAACTGAATTTTATGAATTAAAGTAATTTTTCTACACTTTCAGACAAGATTTATGAAGAGAAACTGGCTTACATCAGCTGAATTATGCACACTTTAATACTGAGGCAAACAGTTATCTGCCTTTTTATTTGTTGTAAGGAACCACAATTTTCTTTTTTTAACTCAGGACATCTCGAGCACAGGAAATTTGGATTTAATCACCAAATCTGTGATTTCATGTATGTGGGTCAAATGGATGTGGGTTCTACTCAGCTGAAAAAAATAGATGAGGAGTAATGTGATTTCAGTCTGAGTAATTTTATAGCAAAGACTGCAAGATATGTTTTGAAGATGTCATTGATGGCAACACAAATCAATATTAAAAACTTTATACAGGAAGCACACTTTTAGAAGATGGGCCTTAAAACTATTTCATAGGATCATGGATTTCTAGAATCATAAACGACACCCTAATTGCTAGTGCAAGCTATTATCTTTCTTCAGTTTCCCTCTTCGTTTGTTTTTTGTTTTTGGCCTGTAAATAATTGAAGTGGCATTGCATTATCTATATTAAATGTTATGTACTTTGTTTCGAACTTACTAATGGCACATACAAATCACGAAGGTGAATGTTCCAGTATACAAGTGTTTTTTTCACCTGAGAGTATGTATTTATTATTCATCCAGCTCAATGTCGAATGATACAGCAGGCTTCCCTTTAGACACTCTATGCTACATTATTTTTAAAAGATACATTAAACATACCTGGCATCTAAAAAGTAGTTCATTGATTATTCCACAGTATTTCTTTAAACTACAATACTATTTACACAAAATAGTCTTCACTTCAATATCTTTGAAAATGTGGATTACACATTTAAGAGAAAATTAGTAATTCAATATCATTTAAATGGCTTTCACCATAATATTCCTATCAGTTTTGGTCTACAATGAAATGCATTTCAATGCCTTATCACTGTTGACTTTTAAATTCTCTCATGATTGTCTAACTTTATTTTTCAGCCAAATACTATAATTCATGTTTTACTTTAAAACAGGGGGTATAACAAACGACATTTTATCAAGTTCACAATTTAAGAGATTATTGTTCTGCAAGTGCCACAAATCCAGATATATTTTCATTAGCAAGAAAAGCCTGATTATAACCTGCACAAGAAAGTTCACACACTGTATCAAGGTTTCAGAGTAACAGCCGTGTTAGTCTTTATTCGCAAAAAGAAAAGGAGTACTTGTGGCACCTTAGAGACTAACCAATTTATTTGAGCATAAGCTTTCGTGAGCTACAGCTCACTTCATCAGATGCATGCTGTGGAAAGTTTAGAAGATCTTATTATATACACACAAAGCATGAAAAAATACCTCCTCCCACCCCACTCTCCTGCTGGTAATAGCTTATCTAAAGTGACCACTCTCCTTACATTGTGTATGATAATCAAGGTGGGCCATTTCCAGCACAAATCCAGGGTTTAACAAGAACGTGGGGGGGGGGGGGGGGAACAAGGGGAAATAGGCTACCTTGCATAATGACTAAGCCACTCTCAGTCTCTATTCAAGCCTAAGTTAATTGTATCCAATTTGCAGATGAATTCCAATTCAGCAGTTTCTCGCTGGAGTCTGGATTTGAAGTTTTTTTGTTGTAAAATAGCGACTTTCATGTCTGTAATCGCGTGACCAGAGAGACTGAAGTGTTCTCCGACTGGTTTATGAATGTTATAATTCTTGACATCTAATTTGTGTCCATTTACTCTTTTACGTAGAGACTGTCCAGTTTGACCAATGTACATGGCAGAGGGGCATTGCTGGCACATGATGGCATATATCACATTGGTGGATGTGCAGGTGAACGAGCCTCTGATAGTGTGGCTGATGTTATTAGGCCCTGTGATGGTGTCCCCTGAATAGATATGTGGGCACAGTTGGCAACGGGCTTTGTTGCAAGGATAGGTTCCTGGGTTAGTGGTTCTGTTGTGCGGTATGTGGTTGCTGGTGAGTATTTGCTTCAGGTTTGGGGGCTGTCTGTAGGCAAGGACTGGCCTGTCTCCCAAGATTTGTGAGAGTGTTGGGTCATCCTTCAGGATAGGTTGTAGATCCTTAATAATGCGTTGGAGGGGTTTTAGTTGGGGGCTGAAGGTGACGGCTAGTGGTGTTCTGTTATTTTCTTTGTTGGGCCTGTCCTGTAGTAGGTGATTTCTGGGAACCCTTCTGGCTCTATCAATCTGTTTCTTCACTTCCGCAGGTGGGTACTGTAGTTGTAAGAATGCTTGATAGAGATCTTGTAGGTGTCTGTCTCTGTCTGAGGGGTTGGAGCAAATGCGGTTGTATCGCAGAGCTTGGCTGTAGACGATGGATCGTGTGGTGTGATCAGGGTGAAAGCTGACCATGATTCCAACAATTTCCATCCCACCACCAACCTCAGCCTGGTCCAGTCCACACAAGAGATCCACTTCCTGGACACTACAGTGCTAAGAAACAATGGTCACATAAACACCACCCTATACCGGAAACCTGCTGACCGCTATTCCTACCTCCATGCCTCCAGCTTTCATCCAGACCACACCACACGATCCATTGTCTACAGCCAAGCTCTATGATACAACCACATTTGCTCCAACCCCCCCAGACAGAGACAAACACCTACAAGATCTCTATCAAGCATTCTTACAACTACAATACCCACCTGTGGAAGTGAACAAACAGATTGATAGAGCCAGAAGAGTTCCCAGAAGTCACCTACTACAGGACAGGCCCAACAAAGAAAATAACAGAACACCACTAGCCGTCACCTTCAGCCCCCAACTAAAACCCCTCCAACGCATTATTAAGGATCTACAACCTATCCTGAAGGATGACCCAACACTCTCACAAATCTTGGGAGACAGGCCAGTCCTTGCCTACAGACAGCCCCCCAACCTGAAGCAAATACTCACCAACAACCACATGCCAAACAACAGAACCACTAACCCAGGAACCTATCCTTGCAATAAAGCCCGTTGCCAACTGTGCCCACATATCTATTCAGGGGACACCATCACAGGGCCTAATAACATCAGCCACACTATCAGAGGCTCGTTCACCTGCACATCCACCAATCTGATATATGCCATCATGTGCCAGCAATGCCCCTCTGCCATGTACATTGGTCAAACTGGACAGTCTCTACGTAAAAGAGTAAATGGACACAAATCAGATGTCAAGAATTATAACATTCATAAACCAGTCGGAGAACACTTCAATCTCTCTGGTCACACGATTACAGACATGAAAGTCGTATTTTACAACAAAAAAACTTCAAATCCAGACTCCAGCGAGAAACTGCTGAATTGGAGTTCATTTGCAAATTGGATACAATTAACTTAGGCTTGAATAGAGACAGAGTGGCTTAGTCATTATGCAAGGTAGCCTATTTCCCCTGGTTTTTTCCTACCTCCCCCCTCCGCCCCCTCCCCACGTTCTTGTTAAACCCTGGATTTGTGCTGGAAATGGCCCACCTTGATTATCATACACAATGTAAGGAGAGTGGTCACTTTAGATAAGCTATTACCAGCAGGAGAGTGGGGTGGGAGGAGGTATTTTTTCATGCTTTGTGTGTATATAATAAGATCTTCTAAACTTTCCACAGCATGCATCTGATGAAGTGAGCTGTAGCTCACGAAAGCTTATGCTCAAATAAATTGGTTAGTCTCTAAGGTGCCACAAGTACTCCTTTTCTTTTTACACTGTATCCAGACATGACCTGTTGTGATTTGTGAGGAGTGACATTGGTGGTTGAAGAGGCTTATGCTAAATGTCCCAGACAGCTGATGCAACCACCTCTGCATTTGCCAATTTGCAGCATGATGCTTCTAGAGCAGTGGGACTGTCGGCCCTTACAGACTCCAAAAAAGGGCGGAGAGAGACTTCAACTCCACCCAATTAACAAAAAGCAACTAAACAACCGTTTATCTGCAATTAGCAGCTAACTGGGCACAACACTAACGGCAGAAGTTTGATTTTGACACTTTCTTTAAATTCAGTTCAGCAATTGTGAACAATGATTTTTGAAGGTGTAACCAACAGACAACGAGAACCAATGTGTGGGTGAAACCAGCCTAGCGGTTATTTTACACTTAAACACACGATTTAAAAACAAAACCGAAATAAACATCTCCAGCTGAGATCCAGCAGCTGAGCTGAAAACACCCTCCCTCCCAGTTGAAAGTTACAAAGCAGCTACAATAGAGAGCAGCAGCAGCCTGGGCGCTTGGCGTTAAACTTCGGCTCGGTTTTTTGCTTAAAACGAACGTGTAACAGCGGACCGAGGCGACACTAAATCCTAGGAGATGCCCAATAAAGCCCCACGGGGGCACAGAAATGCCCTTCGCAGCGCTGATCTCTGTTTAACGGGGGGGAGGGGGGGTTGTTGAGGACACGGCTCAGAAGGAGGAGACACGCCACGGCCCCCTGGAGCGGGAGGAACACCGAGGAGAGGGATGGCCGAGCAGGGAAGGCAAGCGGGTGGGGGAGCAGCGGAGGGAAAGGCAGAGCTGGACGGAGGAGGCGAAGGCAGCTGTGCCGCCTGCAGCGAGCCCAGCCCCCGCTCCCCCCCTCCCGGGCTGGAGGGGCAGGAGCAGCGGCGGCAGAGGCAGGAAGGGGCTGCCGGCTCTTTCCTGTCTGAGTCTGCGTGTGTAACCCGATCCCCTCCCCCGCCGCAGCCCCCTCCTGGCCTCGGGCGATAGTGAACGACGTTCAGCAAGTACCGCTGCAGCCCAGCCCGGCCGCCCCGCCCCGCCCCGCGCCCGGCAGGTACCGTACCTTAGCCTGCAGATACTGGGGGTAGTAGTAGGTGGTGTACTGGGGGTACATCTGCTGTTTCCACACTTTGCCCATGAAGCTGGAAATGTCGCCTGCCGTGCAGGGGCGGGGGGCACTTTAGGGGGCTCCAAATGCCTCTCTCCTGCCTCTTCCTTTCTGGCGGCGGCGGCTGCTTCTCCTCCTCAGCGGAGCCCAAACCTTCCTCCTCCCAGCAGCAGCAGCAGGGAGAGACCGCAGCGCGCCCCCCCCCCCGGCTCGCGCTCTCCTCCCCCCACAAGTTTCCTCAAGTCCCTGCCCAGCCACAGCCCGGCAGCAGCGCCAGCCCGGTTCCGACGGCCCCGCGCGCTGGGAAGCGATCAATACCAGTGTGAACTGCAGCCGCGGCAGCGCTCAGTGCCAGGCAGCTGGGGGAGGGGGGCCAGGGGCGGTGCTTAGGCCCAGCTGGGCTCGAGGTGTGGGCTGGAGTTGAACCACTCAGGACTCACTGGCAGTAGGGAGCCGGGCAAGGATGCTCGCTCCCAGGCTCAGGCTGCAGCATGGTTGCAGCCGACAAGTGATCTAGGATCAGAGCAAGAGCGGTTCTGACCCTGGAAAACTCATTCGCCATTAACGCTCCTGGGTAGGAAGGACTCCATATTCCCGCTCTGCCCAAGGGGGACTGCAACATGCACGCTGTGCATGACCTTGCTGGCTGGATTCTGCTTTATCATCTCCTTTGAGCCTTGTGATAGCTGGCACGAATGCAGTGCACAAGCCTCAGTGCAGAAGTGGATGTCGTTCAAAAAAAACTAGCATAGGTTTAACATTCACTTGCAGGGGGTACATATTCCTAGCTAGAAATTTCTCAGGACCCCAGTACATCACTTACAGATTTGCCTAAAGTGTAGATTAACTGGTGGGCCTCATCCTCAAGTGTAATCAAATGCGGGGGCGGGGGAGGTGTGACATCCATTCTAACGGTTGGTGGCTACAGTTCTGTATATTTTCCTTTAGACTATAAGCATGGTTATTTGTTTTTGTTTTCTTAAAAAGACTTTCCCAAACTTAGTTTAGAGAAAGTTTTCAGTCATGGCTAATGATGCAAAGGAAAACAGGTTACAATGTAATAAAAAACATTTTCTTCTGATTGGATTTGCTCCTGATGAGTATATATCCTCCTCTTACCTAATGCTGCATTTTCCAGCATGCACTTAATGAATTCTCAGAGAGTCTAAACAGATGCCACTTCTTGTCAGGCTGTGAAAATTATGGTTTGTGTCCCAGGAGCGCTAGATTATTAATTAAATATATTTGCAAGCTCCATGAAAGCTGCTCTGCTTATTAGGGTTAACCTAGCTAAAAATGTGGGGGGGGGGGAGGGGAAGGGAAAGATGTGGTATAAAAGCTTAGTATTCACAAGTATCCCTGCATAAAGTGTAAAGGCAGCTTTTGAGCAGCCCTGCATCCTGCAACCATCAAATCTTGTTACTAGCCCAGGTATGGATAGGTGACTGCAGATATTCACCCAATCCTAGAGAAGAGATTTAGGTTTCTGCTCTGAGGTTTGCAGGATAATGATGCTGCAAATTAGTTGATCTGTCACTAAAAGCCAGGTCTATTTGCAAGTTTGGTCATGGGAGGAAATTCTTACTATACTTTATGGACCACACTGATTCAAAGACAAGTAGAGGCTATAGTAAGGAGGCTCTGCATCCAGGGGGGTGAAACAGGAGTTCCTTGGGTTTTGGGCTAGCACATGCCTGGAACCCCAAAGGGAATGGGGCTGTTCAGGTACAGGAAGTTTGTACCTGAACGGGTGACCTTCCTGGGGGAAAAACAAAGGTCATGGACAGAGAGAAGTCTGGCAAAAGAGAACTATCAGGTGGCTGAGAGGGGCCAATGCCATAATAATCCCATGCTCCAGGGTAGCACAAGTAGTAGGTCAGACAGTTGAAAAAGCCAAGTCAGCACAGGACAGAAGCAGCTTCCTTCTGGAAAAGATGCAGTTCAAAGACTCTGAGTTTATGCTGTGGAATCTGGACTGTGCAGTGGATGAGGTGAGGAGGCTGTAATGAATAAGGGTCACACAAGAATGTGTGGTCACCTGTAGGTACGGGTGGGGTTTCAGAAACAGTTGACAAGTATGTGGCCATGGCCAAAATACTTGATGCGACTCACCAACTTGGTAATTATACATCAGAGGTTTCCAAAACTGTGGTTCAAGGATCTCTAGTAGTCAGCAGAGAGAGCTCAAAGATCACAGAGTGTTGATTCTCCTGGTTTCCTATTGAGAGAGGCAGATTAGGATGTGGGGGAAGAGAGGGAAAAGAAAAGCAATAGTAGACAGTGTGAATAACTTTTTTTTTTTTTAAGAAAGGGATAAAACTCTTATTGCACTAAAGACAATTAGAAATACACAACTGTTTCCCTGGTATTCCTTTCTACCTAAGCAACTGTTGTAGTTGCCACAAGAATGTTAGCAGTCTATAATGTGGAGGCTCATGAATGGGAAGTGTCCAGAAGACAAAATCTCTTAACTGTGATCCACACAATGAAAAAGTCTGAGAACTTCTGGGTCTAAATAGTTCCAGCAGTTATGGCTGCAGCAATCTTTAACTTAGTTGTGTCAAGTTACTGGGAATGCATGATAGCTGCCAATGAGATGAGTAGTAATACACACTGTTACTATGGCTGCTGAAAGCATGAAAGAACAAATCTGGCTAAGAGAGTATTTTATTACTGTGATCATTAATTATCAACTGCTATAACTAAAGATGGGCTCCTAATTCCATTCTAATCCCCCTTTTCAGTTGCTTAAAACTACCCACCCCCAAGTCTTTCTAATCTGAAATGTTCCCTGCTTGGTCTCTGCCCCAAAGGTGATTTCTTTTATTTAAAGTTGGAGCAAAATTCAGTCCAACTTTTTTGAGCTACATGAGCTAGATCTTCTACCAACCCTGCTCCCCACACACACGCACTTACTTCCAATTGGAATATTTGCTCTTATTATTTTTAAAATAGCAGATATTACAAATTTCAAAGTTATCAGGTACTGTACTTATCACTGAGAATTTAAAAATTAAGGAAAGGACCTGATGCTTCAAAATTCCACTCTTCTTAGCAGTCCTTCAGTCCTATAGAAGATGAGCGAGGATTTGCAGATCATGCCCCAGTTTGACTAACATGAGTTCAGAAGACGACTTCTTGGCTTGGTCCCAACTATATGGAGTCAGCTCTTCCAGTCATTCTTCTCCATTCCAGTCTTGAAGCAGTTCATCAGCAACTCCATAGCTAATCAAATCCCTTAGTATGACATCCCATGCAACTAATTTTGGGTTTTCCAGCCCTTCTGTTACCCTCCACTTCTAACCTTAACACCTTGTTTCTGGTGTATTCTTCCCATTTCTTTTTATTCGCCAAAACAATCTCAACATGGAATCCCTCAGCTTTTCTGTAATTGGTACCACCTTCACACTTCCGCTAATTCATTCATTCCAAACATGTAATTCCAAGCATCCATCTTAATATTTTTATTTCCAGTGTATTGAAGATCTGCTCCTGTCTCTTCCACAGATTCTGAGCTAGAATTCAGAATGAGTTCAGAAGATTTAAAGAAATTAAATTTTAAAATCAGCATCAATTAAATACATGCCCATTAGAATTTCTCTGTTTGGTCTCAAAGATGCATTTTAAGGCAGACTGCTCCTAAATACATATTTGTTAAGCATGGATCAGTGGAGGAAGCCTCATGTAAGACATCTTTATCTAGGCTTAGGGTGACTCAGTGGTGTCCCTTTCATATAGAATGAGTTAATTACTGATATTCTGTGATTAAATGGAGAAGAAACTAATTTTGCTTTAATGCAAAAGTTAAGTCAGAGGAATCCAGTATTCAGAAGTCAGGAATTTCCCCAGAGTTAAGGTTCTAACACATAGTTAGCTCCTCCATAGTGCACATAAATATATTTCCTATACCTATTTTCCTTGCTAAATGTAAACATTGTTTACCCAAGACGTGAATTTTCAAAAGTGACACCAATTTTTGGGTGTCCAACCTAACAAACATTAATGTGGGGTGGATTCCCAGAGGGTGGGCGCTCAGCACTTTCTGAAAATCAGGCCCCTTTTAGATGTCTAAAGTCAGGCACCTGAAAACTGAGGTATCCAAAAACATTTATACATTTTCAAAGTGACTAACGTTTGTTATTATTTTATAGAGAAGCAGAGAATAAAATGCAAATGACAGAGTTTTCAACTTTGGCACTGTATAGATGCTTTTTCATTTAATAGCCTATCACGTGTCCATAATTATGGGGCATGAGTGCATCACACTAAAACATAAACGTCACAGTTTGCACAATGTAGTTCAGATAATATTGAATAATAATGACTGAATTGTCAAATTTAACGTTGAACTGATGGTAATGTTTGTATTTAATATCTTAGACTGTGCCCATAACCATGGCATTTGGGTGTATCAAACAAAACAATCAAATTAAGACTGCTTACAATGTACTACCCACTCACTAGGGGGAAAAAAACATAATAAAAATTAAAGAAAATCCTTCCTTTCTCTAGTTTAGGCCTTATCAGGTGATGGATTGGATAAAAAGAAAACCCTGCTCTGCTGGCTAACAGGTCTGGGCTCTGCAGGCCTCCAGAGACTGAATAAATTCTATAGCTGGTAACCTTCCTTTAAAGAATTCCCTGCCTCCAGAGTGTAAATCATGAGTGTTTGAGCACCAATGTTAACCATCTTAGGGAGTGCAGCTACAACATGGTTGTGTCCTATCCATGTTATAATGTGGTTGGGTTGTGCCTATCCAGACCAGATCAAATTGTGTTATAATCATGTTGAGGAAATAATGCTAAACTTTGTTGTTTTAACATTGTTTCCTCAACATGATAACAATGTGACTTGGTCTGGTCTAAACAGTGCTAAAATATGATTGAGAGACAGCAATATTTTAATTGTGTGGCCATATGGCTAGCGCACTGGCCTGGGGACTCCAGAAACCCGGGCTGTGTTCCCAGCTCTGCTGTTGCCTTACTGAATGATGTGAGGCAAGTCACTTCATTCCTCTATGCCTGTAAAATGGGAATACCAAGTCCCTTGGTAAAGATCTACTAATAAAAAGCTACATGAGGTCTAGGTGTTGCTATTATTATTATTGTTATTAACACAGTAATTGTAGTGTAAACAAGGCCTGTGAGTAAAAACACATCTTGTGCTCCCATCAACAGCAATGGTGTTTAGGCAGAAGCATTTTGTCTTATCAAGGTCCAAAATCATATTGGGCTTTATTGATTAAATCCAACACCCTTGAACTTTACCAAGAAGTAGATGGGAATCAAATACAATGCAGAGTGTGCAGTTGAAATATATTCAGCCGAACTCATTCCATTAATTGTGTGCATGACACTGT